GCTCATGATCTGAGCCACAGTCAGCTCCTGGTCTTGTTTTACTGACTGTATAGAGCTTCTCCATCTTTGGCTGCAGAGCACATAGTCAATCTGATTTCTATGTTGACCGTCTGGTGATGTCCATGGGTAGAGCCGTCTCTTGGGTTGTTGGAAAAGAGTGTTTGTTATGACCATCGTATTCTCTTGACAAAATTCTATTAGCCTGTGCCCTGCTTCATTTTGTACTCCAAGGCCAAACTTGCCTGTTATTCCGGTTATCTTTTGGCTTCCTACCTTAGCATTCCAATCCCCCATGATGATAAGGACATCATTTTTTGGTGTTCATTCTATAAGGTGCTGTAGGGCTTCATAGAACCGGTCAATTTCATCCTCTTCAGCACCAGTGGTTGGGGCATAGATTTGGACTACTGTGATATTGAATGGTTTGCCTTGGATTCGAATTGAGATCATTCTGTCATTTGGGGATTGTATCCCAGTATTGCTTTTCCTATTCTTTTATTGACTATGAAGGCTACTCCATTTCTTCTGAGGGATTCTTGCCCACAGTAGTATAATGGTCATCTGAGTTAAATTCACCCATTCCTGTCCATTTTAGTTCGCTGATTCCTAAGATGTCGATGTTCAGTCTTGTCATCTTTTTTTTGACTACGTCTAGCTTGCTTTGATTCATGGATCTTACATTCCAGGTTCCTATGGAGAAAAAAATCTTTACAGCATCGGACTTTCCTTTCACCACCAGATATATCCACAGCTGAGCGTCCTTTCGGCTTTGACCCAGTCGCTTCATTCTTTCTGACGCTACTAGTACTAGCCCTCTGCTCTTCCCCAGTAGCATATTTGACACCTTCCGACCTGAGGGGCTGATCTTCCAGTGTCATATCTTTTTGCCTTTTAGTACTGTCCATGGGGTTTTCATGGCAAAGATACTGGAGTGGTTTGCCATTTCCTTCTCCAGTGGATCACATTTTGTCAGAACTCTCTGCTATGACCTGTCCGTCTTGGGTGGCCCTGCATGGCATAGCTTATAGCTTCATTGAGTTACGCAAGCCCCTTCGCCACAACAAGGCAGTAATCCATAAAGGGGAAATTTAGATTAGTGCAGCAGAAAGTTACATTCAGTTTGTATGAAATTAAGATATTATTACTGAATTATTTTGGGGCAAGCACATGCAGATTAGTTCCCCAATTGTGGATATTCTTAGTTAACACAGAGAGCTATTATATAAAGCCATAATGTCTTCCAAACACTGTCAGTAACATTTAAAATGTTCTCTATGGTACAGTGCCTAAAGTTTTACTTAATGGCTTACAGTTTAACTTACTTTTAAAGAGAGAAATTGAATACTGACTTCTGTTTCATTTGCAAAATGGAGGCCTGGGATAGCACAATTCACAAAATATTTTCTAAATTGACTCCATCTGTTATACGTGGATATAAAATTGCTTCTATCTAATTCTGGGTGTGATGAGGGCTTCAAAAGCTATTTGGCTTGTTTTGAAACTGATTGTCTTTGGTATTAAGCCATAATCTCATTCTGGCAAAATGATAAGCTATTAGTGAGGGGCCATCATATTGCTGACATGGCTGTTGATATTTCACAGTCTCTGAGGGTAACTGCTTAGATTGTTTTCTATTCCCTTTACTGTAGATCAGATTGTAATCCTAAGTGGCATTGCTCAACTAGCAGTCTGTGCTAGGAGTCACACCTCAGTTTTAGATAAGAGAAGATTTGCTGTCTCTGCAAGCAGTGCATGTCACAACCAGAGTGAAGATATTTTTGTCAAAATGTTCTCAGCAATTGATACTGCTGCCCTATCAAAGGATAAACTGGGCTACTGATGATACTTCTGCCATAATTTGATTTATGGAGAGATTTGTGGCATTACTGAAGAAAGAAATAGAACATCTTAAAATTGATATTTCACATTCCATTCCATTCAATTACACCTTTGTGTATAATCACCCTGCTTCAACCTGACAGTAAAAATTGTTAACTTTATAAAAGAAGAGTATTGGAACTCACTGGAGAAAGTGGATAGTTGTATGATGAACTGATATATGGTGCTGCTGTGATGTTTATTGACTGAAATGAGGTCAGATGTTCTAGTATTTATATGAGCTGAAAGATGAATTACAGATTTTCACAGACAACAAAGTCAAACCAAAGACTGAAATAAATCATCCAAAGTGAATTGACAGCCTGGGATCCATGCTATATTTCCCCACTACATTATATAGAATACCAATCTGGGTTCATATATGTATATCACTGAAGGACATGTGGCAAGTGGGGCTAAAGAGTAGTAAATTGAGCTATTTCTCAGCACATTTAGCATATTCAACCACTCAGTATGCTGAGGAATTTTTAGAGGAACTCCTAAAGGTCTTGAGGAATATTTTAAAGATCTAAAGTTCATTTATTATTGTAGTTTATTCAAAAGCCATGTTCAGGCAGTGCCTGTCACAATAGGGGTGATATGGTTAACTGATAATAATCAACCTGAAAATGCAGCTATGTGTTGCAACACTATCAGAGCAACCAGATATCCCAAAACAAACTAGAGTATTAAGAATCTTTAAGAGGTTTCAGTCATTTGATTTAAATATAATATAAATTTTCACTTTCTGCTGAACTTCATTATATTTTTCTCCAATGACTTTGTCATTTGTGGCCTTGTCTCTCCCTTCCTTCCTTCCTTCCTTCCTTCCTTCCTTCCTTCCTTCCTTCCTTCCTTCCTTCCTTTCTTTTTTTGCAATGTAACCCTCAACCAACTGTTCATAGGTTAGTGATACCTTTGAAGTAGCCAAAATTTGCATCTCTGTGCTAAGGAAAGAGCAATGGCTTTGGGAGCCGTAGTTACTCCTTTTTTTTCTTTTCCCAAAGACGGAGGTATGCAATGAATAGGGCAAGGACACTGTGATATGAAAGAAATGTATTGGGCTGGATTTTCTGGTTTTGTTTCCTTTTTTTGTTTTTTCAAACATGGCTCGTATCTTCCCAACAGCTTGTGCACCCATTTTATTTGTGCTCAAAATCAGAAGTCAGTTTACCTTAGTTTTTTATGGTTTGCTGACTTGCATTTTTTCAAGAAAAGCCCTGGGAGGGTACATGAATTCCATAGGCTATAGGATGCCAACCCTTCATGGTAAGAGAGAAAGGGAAAGATTCTGAAGACTTCTGATCCTGAGAGAGGAGAGAGAAGAAAAGAATGCAGGGTGACTTGCATATTGATTTAGTGACCACAGCCATAGCCTAAGATTATTTGTTTGTTATTTATGGGATATATAAGACTGCCCACGTACAATTTATGACTCTAGGCAGCATACTAACATGAATATTAAAAAAAAATCTTACATAGGCAAGACTAGAAATAATAAACCCTCTCTTTCCTAAGACATGTACAACTGAACATCAATAGGATGCTGATAATACTTGTCTTTGTGCCGAGGATGATTTCATCCAGTTTCTTCATGTAGATTTTAAACAAAAATGGGGAGAGGATGGAGCCCTGAGGCACCTCTCAAAGCAGGCACCCTTCTTTTCCCCCACCAACACTGACTGCATCTAATCATGGAGAAAGTAGGAGAATCAGGGCAACACCATGCCACGTACTCCCAATCCCCTGAGCTGGTCTAGAAGAATACCACAGTTCAGTATGAATGTCGCTTAAAAATCAACACCAGGAAGGATGCAATCTCCTTCTCCTGAGCACACCAGAGGTCATCACAAAGTGCAACCAATGCTGCATTCGTGCTTTCTCTCATTCTATAAAAGGAATCCAGATGGGAGAATGTTCTTAAATAAATCATACCCCTATGCTGTTTCTCTAGGTTTTTTCTGAATTAAAAAAAGCTATAAACTTATGATAAAAGTCAAAGTTCCAATCCTTTTTCTGTAAATTAGTTAACTCATGAGGTCAGAGTTGGTATACATTTTGCTTTGCTCTGTGCTGCCAACTGAGCTTCGTACTTTAATGCTGGATTTTAAAAATTGCACAGCATGAACAGGGAGAATAGGTACTGTTTGTGCTATGTACGCTTCAAAAATAATTCAGAGGAAGTATTTGGGCTCATGTCCTTGTTCAGTCATCCATGCAAGCCTGAAAAAGGATACCACAGAAGAAGATCACAATGCAACTCTTAAAGAAGCTACAACTTTTTTTCAGGCTTGTGTAGAAACCTAATAAGGACAAGCTGCATTAAAAATAGGTGCAGCACTTCCTTGAGGTACTGTTTATAATGATTTTCAAAATGTATATGGCTCTATAAGTACTCTGCTTTTAGGACTATGAACAGAATGAGATCTGATGAACAGAATAATACATGAGAATGTTTTCTGTGTTTAATTATGTAAAATAAAGGTATTTGTAGTTATAGGTTTGCTTACCTATGTCTACTTGTACTCAACTGTTAGGTATATTATCAGGAATAGCTGTACATTACTTCCATGTACTGTACATGAAACTGCCTTCCAAAACAATCCAAAATGTTTAGCTATACAGAACATAGTGGCAAAAATGCATCTGGAAACATTTTGTGTTCAAAGCACTGCTGTATCCTATCTTCTTGTTCCACTTCCTACCATCCTCTTGGATTATTAACCAAGGTCCCGTTGACTTCATACAAGGTTGACTCAGCTTTCCATCTTTCCTAGGTCTGTAAAATGAAGACTCAGATTGTTGGGGGCAATATACTGACTCTGTAAAATGCTTAGAGAGGGCTGTAAAGCACTGTGAAGCAGTATATAAGTCTAAGTGCTTGTGCTAAGTGCTAGTTGTACAATTTTATTGCTTATTATGATTTTAACTTCTGCTTGTTTTTAACTATGGACATTCTCTTTTGTTTTTAAATTGTATATACACTGGGGAGTTTTTTGGATAACTATTTTTCCCCCTTTTTGAGGACAAATGTTACAGGACAAGTGGAACCTTGATTGCATGAATAGACAAATACAGTATAATTGTATTCTCATAATTTCAAAAATATGCTTATTCCATAGTAATGAATCACCAGCACCAGCCACAGATGACACCAACTACAACTATATCTCAGCAGAACCACCCTCCCCCAAACCCTCAAGCTGCCTTATTGAATATGCCAAATGCCTTGACCTCCCAGCAACAACAGCAGCAGAAACTGAGGCTTCAGAGAATCCAGATGGAAAGAGAGAGGATTCGCATGCGTCAGGAGGAACTCATGCGCCAGGTATTGCAAAAATGTGGGAAGGTATCTTCTTCTTTCTGTAGGTTGTCTGGCACTCCAAGTGAGAGATCACCAAGTAGGGATTTCCCCCCCCCCCTCACTCAACACTGGAAGATTAGCATCTTTTTATGCAGGGCTAAATCTTACAGTCAGGAGTAATTTTGACCTATCACTCTCTTGAACTGATTTTCATCTTTCTTCATGCTAGGAGAGCCCACTTGTCCATCTCTCTCAAGGACAGGTGGAAAGCCCTTGAAGACAGCTGCAAAGTGGAAATCTTAGACTTACATTGTTAGCAGTTATTCTCTGGCTGGAAATTTTTCTCATTGGGTTGTGGATTTTTGCTTAGGCTTTAAGGTTAGCTTTTATTGTGACTCACATTGTTCAAAACAGATCTGGTGCTTCCTGTATTTGGCTTCAAAGCAAGAACTGTGAACAATTGCAAAGGATGTTTTTCATAGGGTAAAGGAATATTCCACCCTACTGAAAATGTACTATGAAAGTATGATTCTATGGTTCTGCTTTGGTCAATATATTCATCAGCTTCCTCAGAGAAACAATTACCCAGTTTACTTCCAGCAGTGTTGAAGATAGTTGCTAACCTAGTAATATATATATTTTAATGGAAACTAGTCCTTAAAATATTCTGTGTTTTTTTTAATCAAAGCAATTTGTAATCTTAAAAAGGACACAGTTAAGATGATTTCTATATGTACACACATGAATGCATACTATTTCCCAATATGTATCTCCTGTCTATCACAAGAAGAGATTTTAAAAAGACTCTGTGAATATCTACCAGCTAGAGTGCAGATTGTTTAAAGGATTGCAGTCGGTAAGCAAAATAGTTTGTTTTTTTTACTTGGGAGTAAGCCCAACTGAACTGGACAGATATTATTTCAGACTAAACATAAGTAAGTTCAGAATGTGAAACTTCTGAAGCAGAGGAGGAGGGGAAAAACTATCAAACCTACAGTGTTATTTTGCCTTTGGGATTTGGATCTAACCTCCTTCAGCTATTCCAGGATAGCATTTGTTTATACTGTATTTAGTAATACAGTCTCACATTTCTTGGCAGCAGAATGAATTATGTTTTCTATTTGTGTAATGACACCAGTTGGCATATCATTTCTAAAGGTTTATTAATGCTCAGTCAGATGTTTTAGGATGCAATGAACCCAGCAGGTTATATCAAAGCTCGTGCCTTGAAATTTCCCCCTTTCTATTTTTGTTTATTGTTTGATTGCTTGTAACTATCTGAAGGAATGAAAACTTTCCATCTCTCTTAAAAGCCAGTAATAAAATTGAGGAATGGGATATGAATATAAAATAATTTTAGCTAGGTATTATTTGGCTTTAGTATGTTGTGGTCTTTATTCACAGATGCTTTAAGAACAAGACTTTTCTTACAATTTTTTTTAAATGAAATACATTAGAAGCTCTCATTTAATTTTTACTTTCTATCATTGAATCTATATTAAGAAAACCTGAATTGGAAGAAGATGAGGATTATTTTAAAATATACTTGTTATTGAAACATCAGTAACTAGTATTCTGCTGGCTCCACTCTTCATTGTTAAAAATCCAATAAGCTGGAAGCCTTAGTGATGAAAACAAGGAGCAAAGAGAAAAAGTGGGATTAAAATTGATTATAAAGAATACCAAATTAGTGTCTGTAGGTGTAGCAACTAGCCTTAGAATTGAAGATACTAATGTGATATCTTTTAGGATCAACAATCAACCAGAGGCGAAAGGGGCGTTGTCTTACCTGAACGCCTTTTCTCAGTATGATTGGATGGAGAACACACGGATGGGTTGTCTTAATCTATCTGCTCCAATTAGACTAAGTCTGAAATTTAGTACCACCCCCTCTGTGCCAACTGCACCCCGTTTTAGACTTAGTCTCTTTGCTCTAAGACGCGTTTTTTCTTCGTTCCTGGAGCAGAAGACTGTATTTTCCCTTTTTCTTATTCTGTTAGCCTAGCTCTAACTACTCATTTTTATTATTTAATTGAAATAATATAAAGATAATATAATTTCATAATATAAAGAAGATTTCCAGCGATTGGAATCATCCTCACCTGACTGCCCGGCCGGGCTGACAGGCTGGGCATCCATAGACTCCCTTTCCCCCCCCCCTCTCCTCTTCTGAGAACTTCCTTGAATTGCTGCTAACAGAGCCAAGCTCTAGTCTGACTTTTACAACTGACTGCAGCTCCGGAAGCTCCGAAACTTCACCGAGGCCTGAAGGCCTTATCGGGCCTAGGCCAGTCTCAGCACCTCCCAGCTGACCATCCAAACACCCTCTGCTGCGTTAGGAGCCCAGGCGATTCTCTGGAACGAGGGCTCATCGCAGCTTAGGCCTCAGGCCTCACAGGCCTTCCTTCCAACGGCCGTTTTTGGCGCGCAGAGCTGCGGCCGCCATTTTGAATCACCTCCCGGTGGCCATTTTGAGACTTACAGAGGCCCAGACTGCCTGCAAGAACATTCCAGAAGGCAGTTTCTGACAATTTGAGGCAGAGGCCTCTAAAATTGACGAACCTTTCACAGGCAGATCGGATTGGGGAGGGCAAGCTCGTTCCGGAAGGACGCACTGCCTACCAACCCCCCATTGCCCACCCCCCTCACCGGGCCGGATCATCTCTGCTGGGCTCCCTTAGTAAGTTACAACACTGAGGGGGGGCGTTTTTGCTGAGGTTGAGCCCAAAGCAGATTCATCATGGCAGAAAAGTCTACCAACGAGCCGGCCAAGAGGAAACATACTACTAGTGTCTGTAGGTGTAGCAGCTAGCCTTAGAATTGAAGATACTAATGTGATATCTTTTAGGATCAACAATCAACCAGAGGTGAATAAATATACCACCATAGACTAGCCCTTGATAGAGTAATATTATAAAGAAGGTCTTGGAAAAGATACTTGGATGTTCTGACATGTATTTGATCTGAAAGATCAGAATTGTGCAGGCAATGGTTTCCCCTGTGATACTGTAAGGAAGCTGAAGTTGGACTTTGAAGAAGAAGGATAGAAAGAATATGGACTGCTTTCTGAAAGATCCCCTTGCACATCATGAAAAACATGAATACTGCATCCAGTTTTGGTCACCATGATGTGAAAAAGATACTGAGACTCTAGAAAGAGTACAGAGAAGAGCAACAAAGATGATTACGGGACTGGAGGCTAAAACATATAAGGAACAGTTGCTGGAATTGGGTATGTCTAATTTAACGAAGAGAAGGACGAGGGGGGACATGATAGCAGTGTTCCAATATCTCAGGGGCTGCCACAAAGAAGAGGGAATCAAGCTATTCTCCAAAGCGCCTGAAGGCAGGACAAGAACCAATGGATGGAAACTGATCAAGGAAAGAAGCAACCTAGAATTAAGGAGAAACTTCCTGACAGTTAGAACAATTAACCAATGGAACAACCTGCCTCCAGAAGCGGTGAATGCTCCAACACTGGAAGTTTTTAAGAAGAGACTGGATAGCCATTTGTCTGAAATGGTGTAGGGTTTTCTGCCTGAGCAGGGGGTTGGACTCGATGACCTCCAAGGTCCCTTCCAACTTTTTACTACTACTACTACTACTACTACTACTACTATTATTATTATTATTATTATTACTCCAAAGAATCATTGCAATACACAAGCAGATCAATTTGAAAAGATACCTCCTTTATACTACTGAGTTTTGTGGCCCTGCAGTTGTGGCTGCTAAATATAAGCAGGATTTTTTAAAAAAGAAACAGTGGTACAATCCTGGCATGCAGCCTTTAATCTGTTAGAATTTTTGTGTACTTCCTGTTGGTCTTCTGTATGATACCAAGGCCTGAAAGCATGGAAGAAGGGTATCACTGTTCAAACAATTTCCTAGTTACCCTAACTCTTTCCTACTAATGCTGTTTTGCTGTTGCTGCTGTTGCTGCAAGCTGTTTTAAGAAAAAGCAAGTGTTTGCATCAGCTGCTAAGCAACTCCAAGTAGGTGAAGAGGGTTTGGGTGAAAAGGAGTGCTGTTTCTGGCAGGCTCTTCTCAGACCTATCAGGGCTGACAGCAGCTTGGCTCCTCTGTGGAGCTTTGGGTCTTCTGCAGCAGCCCTCTCCAGAGTGACACTTCCAACACCACACAACTGTCTGGAGTTTCTGGGTTATCTTTCTTTTTAGAAGATTGGATAAGTGTTTGGAAAAGGACCTTTTGTTTTCTGGCTGCTAGGAGAACAAGAGAGTTGGCTTAGTTGTCTAAATGAAAATATGAATTGTGCTTCATACATGTATCATTTTAATTTCTTTTCTTTTTTAAAAAAACTCAGAAAACATCTCAGGAAAATACAAAAATTCTGCATCTTTTTTGTGCATTGCGGTTAGGCCTATTGTGGATAATTAATATGCCCACTACAGCTTTCCCGTTTTCCTACATATTTCAAGAAAGAACTCTTGACTACTAAATCCTTTCTCATTTAGTAGGATGTATGCCCCTCTCCTCTATTGGTGTAACAGGCTCTGCTTTAAGGGATTTTAAAATGTGTTTGTTAATCCAAATGTGATCTAGATAATTCAGATATTTGGAACTCTTCTGGGCCTGCAAGGCTTTGATGTATAATACAGATTGTTTAGATTGGAAATGAGACTAGAATTGACTGGTAACGTCTAAATTTCTTAGATTACATTGATCATCATTTCAAACCAGGGCCAGTGTGCCGGCCTGGAGAAGGGTACTTATTAATTATCTGTGGATCCATCAAGAGAACTGAAAACACTGTTAACAGCATGCCCTATCAAGCATTTCTGGAGCATGTATCTCTAAGTTTCTATCTCTGTTTCAGGTTCGGTGGGCTTAAAGACTGTTTCTGATGCTTTTCTCTGGAAGTAGTACTTTCCTTCTTATCTTGGCTCAATTTGTTCCACTCAGGCAATGTAGAGCATAGTAAGCACGTAGGAAAGAAGTGACAAATTGCACGTTGCTGCCTTACGTTGACTCTTACTGATTATATGTTTGCCCAATGGGACTAC